TGTGTTATGTTCAGGTGTTGTCACGTAAATAACAGTGCCCAAGCAATAAACAGGACAGACAATAGGATTTTATTTATTTTTACACTACATTTTCACTGAAAGCTGACCGAATCCGACCTGAGCCCAAATACAATTTATAGCTACATTTCTGACCAAACCCGGCCCGACCCGTCGGGTACCGTCGGGCTCGGATCGCCACACTCTAGTGTGTGTATGTGTCCCCTATTGGGGCCTATCTGAATTTCTGTCTTTGAGAGATATTATTTTGTGATATAACTGAATTTTCTATCCATACATATAAATTTGAAATATATTAAAATGATAAGGCATCTTTGAGTAAACTGCGAGTATCATTTAAGTAGGATATGTCGTGGCCGGCCGAGTGTCCTCTTTTTTGGAAATCAAAATATGGTGACCCTAGCTGTACATCCTTCATCACCTCCCAGCAGAAGTTACATTTTTGACACATATATAAACATATGTCCTTATACCTTCTTCTTAGTACATTATAATGTGTTAAAACAATTTTAAATGTTTATATTCTGCTCATAAAAGTTAAGTGTACGCTGTCTCTGCTCACCCACCTAAGGTCAGTTTGATGTCTTTCAGTACGACAGACGTGTTTCTGTGGGTGGGAGCAGCTTTGAATGCCCCTTTTTTTACACAGTCTGATAAACTGCTCCCTGAGTTCATAAAAACACAACTGTAATGACAGAAAACAAGGTGTTTGTTTTACAGAGACAGGGGAGAGGTGTCATCCCTCCTTTTGAAACAAGTTTGACAACATTCTGGCTCTCACAGAGACGCAGCAGACGTCCCTGCAGCTCTGCTTAACAAAGATGGAGAGACAAAGGAGTGAGGTGGGTCGAGATGTTTGGGACATCCTGGAGGGAGGTGGCTACAGCTGGTGTGCATCCTGGTAGTGTGTGTGTGTGTGTGTGTGTGTGTGTGTGTGTGTGTGTGGCGGAGTCCTAATCTCACAGAAATACCCCCACTAGAAAAGAGTGTCTCTCCCTCGACAGCGTGACACACAAAACTGGCATCATGTTGCAGGAGGCAGGTGTAGAACATTTATGAACTCTGTCACTGAGTATTACAAACACCCCGAGGGCTGAAATCCCACCTGCACTACAGTCTCCGGGCCGGACTGTACTTTCTCAAGATAGAAATACACATACTTTATGCATAATAGATTAAAGGACTGGTCAATGAATCAATAAGTTAGTTATTAATAAAATTAATCTTCAGCTCTTTTGATCAGTTGTTTCAAAGCGTGCCTCCGTGGTGAACGAAGAATCCAAAAACGGAAATATTCTTGATGAATCAAAGTCAAAAACGTCCTCGTGTTTACAAGGTTTAGTTCCGATGTATCAACATCATACAATAAGACAAACGCACAAACTAACCCAACAGGGCCTCACTCTGAAGTCATCATAAACCGGCGCTTGGTCACCGAGTTCCAGTGTCAGAAACCAACGCAAAAAGCCGTCTTTTGTATCAACATGATAGCCGTTGGGTTGCCGGTATTGTTTGCCAAAATTCAGCGTCAAGACCACTTCTAAGGCCATCGCCGATTTAACGTAGAATACTGACAACAGATACAGATTAGGTTGTTTTTTTAAAATGTTGGGCTTAAGTTAACGTCTTCTGAACGTCTCATACCAATGTCATCTGGAAATAGTATAACAACATTTATTCGTAAGGTATGGACAGCAAACCCCAACATCTACAAACGACCATAAAGTTAACGTGAAATTCAAACATTGTTAGACATTTAGAATACGGTCAACCAGACCAAAATTTCACATCTGTCGTAATGTAGGAGGTCAACATCTTTCTGACGTCATGTTGATGGTTATCGAGGCAGCAGCTCCCGTGATCAGCAAGGTAAAATTATTGTTTTTGTCGTTGGAGTCTGGCTTTGTCGAAAGCAGAAGTTTTAAATATTGCAACTTTCGCAAAAATACATGTGTTTGTAAAGTTATGAACGTGTGACTGGATAAATGAGACGTGGATAATGCGCATGAGCTGTGTGAGAGTTTGTAAACAGATGTTTTGATGTAGTTTTACTGTGGTTAATCGTGGACCCCACCGACTTCAATTCATCCAAAATGTTATCAGTTTTTTTGGATTCTTTGTTCACCATGAAGGTATGCGAGAAAAACAAGGTTTGTTCACGAATTAATTGTAGCACAGGCTGAGTAACTGATAAACAAAAGATCATTTAGGGGTTGAAGTTTTCCTTTAATTATAATTCAAACAAAAATGTCTAACATCCACCGTCTCAGCTGCACCAATGCGCCACTTTTCTTTGTTTTCTGTGATTGTATTTCTAATATGTTGGTTTTTTTGGACATTTTTATATTTAGATATTTATATTATCTATATTTTTTATACCTTTTATATTTCATGACTTTGTCTAACAATTTGTGGTGAACATAGTTACATGCTAAATTATTGGGACAAAATAAATAAATAAATAAATATTTTGGCCTCCTTACTCACACACAAACATGTACTACTTTACATTTCCTTTTTCGATATTAAAAGATTAAAAGATTTGTTTCTACAGTTGCATGTAATGTGTTTTGGTACCCTACCTGCAGCTCTATGTGCTCTGGTTCTACGTCTCCCTCCTCCCTCCACATCCTGGACCCCAAAAAAATCCCCCCAAACTTCACAGGCTTCAAACAAACTTTAAACTCACACAGGATCTTCTCCAGCCGCAGTAACACAACAACTAAACTGGAAACTCTGGAGGACGTGATTCTTTTCTGCGCATCCTGAAGGGTAAGGATGCTCACTCTGACTCTCCCTGATGCAACATTCATTCATGCATTCATTATTTAGAGGGTAATATTTGCTTGATGTGACATGTTGTTGGTAAGAATGCAAAAAAGACTCCTCTGCTACACACCTGTTTGGAAATAGATGCGCCCAGTATTGCTTTGTTTTGAGTTAATAGGAATTTGGAGAGTTTAGGAAACAGAACAAGTCAAAAAGGAATGAAAATTAAAAGCTGAGGTAGGATTTAAGGGTTTATGAAGACATAAATGTCTATCTTACTAACTGTTTATTAAGTCTGGAGTCTGGCTAACATTTACCAATATCATACTGGTTTTATCTTCATTGTTTATTAAATGTAGAAAAAAAACAATGTACAATTTCGTCATTTTAGGGGCAAGGCCACTCAGCCTTTTGTGTTGTCAGTTTTTTGAGGGCACAAAGGCCATACAATAAAACAATGATTTTAAGTCCACATCCATAATGAATTTAATTTAAGGACTAAGGATGTATAACTATCTGTGAAATGAATAAATAAAACAAGCTCAAGTAATAATAATGAGTATAATAAGTAATAATGTGATTTATTTAGTAGCACTAATAAACCCAATGTGTTTTAAATATAGAACAACCAGGTTCATGTATTTATAAGCAAACAATCTTAAATATTTTTGAGTGTACATGATAAACTGATTCACTGAACAAGACTGGCTTACAATTATTTCTGTTGTGTTGTTAGATAGCTAACAAACAAACACACTACAGCAGGGCTTTTTGGGCCGCTTTTCAAAACCAGATCATGTCGATGGTCCACATTGTTAGCAGCGAGCATACATGTATTTATATATACAGTCAGGTCCATAATTATTTGGACAATGATACAGTTGTCGTCATTTTGGCTCTGTACACCACCACAATGGGTTTTAAATGAAACAATGAATACCTGCTTAAAGTGCAGACTCTCAGCTTTCATTTAAGGCTTTTATTCAAAAATGTAGTATGAACCGTGTAGGAATTACAACCATTTCTTCACACAGTCCCCCTACTTTAAGGGCTCATAAGTATTTGGACAAACTAACATAATCATCAATTAAACAGTCAGTTTTAATACTTGGTTGCAAATCCTTTACAGTCAATGACTGCCTGAAGTGTTGGACACATAGGCATCATCAGATGCTGGGTTTCTTCCCTGGTGATGCTCTGCCAGCCCTTTACTGCAGCCGTCTGCACTTCCTGCTTGTGTTTTGGGTGTTTTGCCCTCAGTTTTGGCTTCAGCAAGAGAAACGCATGCTCATTTGGATTCAGGTCAGATGATATGACTTGGCCATTGCAGAACATTCCACTTTTTTGCCTTAAAAATGCTTCAGGTCAATGTCCATCTGCACTGTGAAGCATCGTCCAATGAGTTTTGAAGCATTTGGTTGAATCTGAGCAGATAATGGTGCCCCAAACACTTCAGCTTTCATCCTGCTGCTCTTGTCAGCAGTCACATCATCAATAAATACAAGAGAACTAGTTCCACTGGCAGCCATACATGGCCATGACATAACAGTACCTCCACCATGCTTCACTGATGAGGTGGTGTGCTTTGGATCATGAGCAGTTCCTTCCCTTCTTCCTTCTCTTGTCTTCCCATCATTCTGGTAGTTGATCTTTGTTTTATCTGTCCATAGTATGCTGTTCCACAACTGTACAGGCTTTTTAGATGGTTTTTGACAAACTCTAATCTGGCCTTCCATTTTTAAGGCTAATCAATGGTTTGCATCTTGTGATAAACCCTCTGTATTTATTCTAGTGAAGTCTTGTCTTGCTTACAAGAGCAGCAGGATGAATTCTGAAGTGTTTGGGGCACCATTATCTGCTCAGATTCATCTAAATGCTTCAAAACTCATTGGACGATGCTTCACAGTGCAGTTGGACATTGACCTGAAGCATATTGCAAAAGCAACCAAAGACATTTTTAAGGCAAAGAAGTGGAATGTTCTGCAATGGCCAAGTCATATTATCTGACCTGAATCCAACTGAGCATGCGTTTCTCTTGCTGAAGCCAAAACTGAGGGCAAAACACCCAAAACACAAGCAGGAAGTGCAGACGGCTGCAGTAAAGGGCTGGCAGAGCATCACCAGGGAAGAAACCCAGCATCTGATGATGCCTATGTGTCCAACACTTCAGGCAGTCATTGACTGTAAAGGATTTGCAACCAAGTATTAAAACTGACTGTTTAATTGATGATTATGTTAGTTTGTCCAAATACTTATGAGCCCTTAAAGTCGGGGGACTGTGTGAAGAAATGGTTGTAATTCCTACACGGTTCATACTACATTTTTGAAAAAAGCCTTAAATGAAAGCTGAGAGTCTGCACTTTAAGCAGGTATTCATTGTTTCATTTAAAACCCATTGTGGTGGTGTACAGAGCCAAAATGATGACAACTGTATCATTGTCCAAATAATTATGGACCTGACTGTATACACAGGCATGGCCCTCCTCAACATGATGCAGCAACAGACTAAAAAAGAGCTACAAATGCACAGAAGCATAATAAGTCATGTTTAGAACAACAGAGTCACTATTTAAAACCCAATAATATCTCACTAGAATATAAATATTCCTCCTGACATCACAATACTGAGTGAAGAAAGTCACGTTATCTCAGGCCCTCGCAGCCCTCGTGAAATTCCTGCCCTGCTGTCACGAGTAAGTGATGTTGTTAATATTATGATTGTTATTTGAATATTGTCAAGATGCTTTTTCACTGTGAGAGCTTGAATGTGTAAAGGACAAAGTTCATAAACACGCAATGGCATAAGGGAGTAACGACGAGCCCGAGTGTCCACGCTAGTTACGATTTAAGTGCCTAATCTCATCGCCTTGTCACATGATCAAATGGAGACTCAGAAGAAACGGAGTGTTATATTTCTACATGAATTAACAAACGGTCAAGTTAATCACACATTCACTCCACAGACAGAGTGTCCAGAGTGCGCTCTGCCACTCTGAGAGTGCACTGCTCTGGACAACGGTACATTCAGACAGCGCCCCCAATTTATGAACGCTCCAGTTTGTGGGATGAATAACGTTATGTGTATTAAGAGTTATCATGTCCACCTCATCAGAAACTGGTGAGGGATTAAGAGGAATATTGGGTTTCTCTGGAATGCTAACTTTTGTAGCATGTTAGCTAATGTTAGCTTGGATAGCAAGACAAACTGGAGGAAAGCCTTCAATTGTGGTCCTCCTTTGTAAGATTGGCTTCCTGTGACATCATCCATCCACTGAGTGAGAGCATACGGGTCGGCCAGTCTAGTCCCGTTGGTCAGTGTTTACTTATTCTAGTAACACTGGCGGTCCCGGAGAGTGAGTGACCTGACATGGTGCGTTGGTAAATTCAGTCTGACGCTCTACACTAAAATGAGAGCCCTGTTGGTGGAAGAAACGGAGCATTATATTTCTACATGAATGAACCAACGGTTAAGTTAATTAAGTTAATCTGTCTCCACAGACAGAGTGTCCAGAGTGCGCTGCTCTGGACAACCCAACGCTACATTCAGACAGCACTTCCAATTTATGAACTTTCTAGTTTGTGTCAGAGTGCGCTTCGACACTGAACGCACCACTCACATCATCTTCCTCCATTGTCTAAAACAAGACAACAGAACTTGCTAGCTAATGCTAGCTAATGTCTGTGGAGAATTGTTTTTTCCTCCAGCTAAGCCCCGCCCACCAAAACAACATCATACTGTTTACTAACAGTACAAGTGTCTATCAAATTTTATCTAATTATTTGGCTTTTTTTCATTTTTTTCAGAAATCAAAATGTGTATTGGTGATTCAGTTTTTAAAGATTTATGAATTGGCTTCGGGCTGAGAGCAACAGATGCAAAGTCCAAAAGAGACAGACTCACATACTGTTAGTTTTGGTGTTTAAATAAAAATATAAATACTGCCAGCCGCATTCTTCAAATACTTGAGTCCTCGCTCAGGATAAACGCAGCGCAGTTTTCTCAGAGTGAGAAAATAAATAATAGGATATGGAAATGTAGGTGTAATTTTGTTGGCATGGGTCACAGAGCTTCGCACCAGTAACCTCCTTGAAATACAAATATCAATTTGCAACCAGCCCAGAATGTCCTCAACCTTTTGTAAAGAGCTCTTTAATTAAAGTCCAGCTGCATTTTTCGTCTGCTGCAGCATTAATCACTTGTCCTGCGCTATCCTTTCAGAAACCAAAAGGAAAAAAAGAATATCTGTTATATATTTGTGCCCTGTTTTTGCATTAATTTGTATTCCTCTCTGTACAGATGAAGACCTTATTTGTATACTTTCAAATCTTGCTTGCCACATCCTTATCATCAGAAATGATCACGGGCAGAGCGGACAGCAGCTTCACAACAGTTTCCTTCTTATTAAACTCCTGAACATGAACACACCTGACAAACATTAGAGGACTTTAGTTTGTACGCTAGTTAGCTGCTTATCTGCAGCACATTTAACAGCATGTGTGTAAACGTACCTGGAGGTCCGGTTAGACGCTGCTGTCGTCCTTCACTCTTCAGTTTAACTGAGCCACAATTTCTGCTGGTGACATGTAGGCCACAGAACAAGTCTGTCAACTTTGTCTCTTCCTCCCTGCAGGCGTAATACTATGACTCCGCCTGTCTGCCAGCTGCCGACAGTTAGAACTGACATTTACAGGTTCTGTATACGACATGCACAACATTAATGCAGCAGGAAACCACTGTTAAGTGAAGATATAGTGAAATACTGGCTTCCTGTTCTGTGCAGTAATCCGAGCTCCTCTGTTCTTTGTTGTGGTAGCTGATCACTTGCGCTCTGCGCTGTGTTTACACAGCCATTGCAGGCCATTGAGCGTAAGGTCAGTAATACATTTTCTCATCGCTCTAGGTGAGGTAGGGTACACAATACTTCCTGTGGACAAATTTACACTCGAAAGAGGCCCTGCTGATTGTCATTCAGACCAGATGCTCGTAATACAAAATATAACCCCCGTCACTGTGTCTGCCTGGCATAGCTAACAGAAATGAACAGCTGAGCTATTGTTAGCATTAGCTTTAGCTAAGTTTGTAAGCTATATGCCACTTCACACACACAGTAGCCCCATCTGGCTGATTTTACTGACATGATTATGGTATGTTTCTGATGTTGTGTTGTAGAGTTCAGGGCTTCAGGATGACTTTTGCTTCCATCACTCTTCACCTTCCCTGTTTGCGTTTCTTCAACACATTCTCACTCCGACCTCGTCACATACTGACGTTTGGTCGTGGACTTTCCACGTCCACATATGACGTGCAAGGTACCCTGGGTGTGTTGGTTGTTGATGCTCTGGGACACCGTGTCAAGTTCTGCCTGTTACATGCACTGTCTTCTTTCAAAATACACTTCTGTTTTCACAGGAAATTTCACGTTTACATACAGTCTCTTTCAAAATAAAAGCATACGTCATGCCAAAAACAGGTTTTCTAGCTTGCAAAAGAAAAGTCCAGTGAATCATCTCCACCGTCTGTCTTTGCAGTGACTGTGTGTAGACATGCAGCCTACCCTCCAATGTTTCGGGGTGGGTGTGGTCTTGTTATCTTTGGCTCCGCCCACCATGTCATTCTCCCGCGGTGCGAGCCACGTCTCTTGTCGGGAAATGATTCCCGGCCACATCAGCGCCCAACCCCAGGACCCACAGCGCAGCCATGTCACCCTGCACACATCTGCCTCTTCTTACCTGCCGGGACAGTTAGTAACAGGTGAGTATAATTTAACTCACTAATTAATCCTCTAACCAATTAACAACAAAGATAGCTGCTGTTAGTCATTCACAGATTTTAGTTAACTGTTGATTAATTGTTAAAAGAAGTAGGGACCAACTTACTTCTGATTGTCAGCACAGTTATTTACAGGCACTTATTAACTGTTAATTAACGACTAACAGCTAGCTCACTTTTACCTGCTGGGACAATTAATCACATCTGAGACCCTGTGTCCTCATATAGGACATTACATTTTGGGTTTGCTGCACTTTAGATGTCATTCTGCTTAACTAAGGCCTGTTGTCCTCGTTTGTAGACACTTTATTGTGCCATCTTGTAGTAGCAGTACTTGTTTGAGGACATTGGGACTTTATTATTGGCTTGTTTGAGGACATTATTTTATACCTGTTGGCAGAGAAATGACAGGAATTGAAAGGAAAGAGAGATCAGGAACAACATATACCAAAGATTCCTGGCCCAATACAAATCAGGGATGCTGGGGCTCATGGTCGGCACTTTAGAACACTAGACCACCAGGGTACCCCACTACTGTTCTAACTACTAATGATAAAAAACTGACGGAAAACATACACCTTTTTAGTGAAGTAGAGGCTTATATGCAAACATCAAAATATCAGTCAATCAATCAATCCATACCTGTGTCCTCAGTAACCGTCCGAAGCTCTCGGGACTTCATGGGTTTCCTGCTCCAGGCTCGCAGTGTGGAGGGTGCCGGGGTCAAGGCTAGAACTGGCGTTGGAGTTGGAGCTGGGCTCAGATCTACGAGAGTGGGCCCAGTGCTGCTGGGCGGCTCCTGGACGCTCACTCCCCCTGGAACTCACACCCTGCGCTGCCTCTCGGAGGGTGACACCCTGACACACTCTGACAAACAGCTGAAGAGAAATCTGTCATTTGTGTGGAAGGCTCCTGATGCACCCATGGGAGACATCAAGTTCTAGTAAGTGTACGCCTACCATTTGTACAAATGACCATAATCATAACTAGCATGCAAAGACTGGTAAATACACATGTAGCCAAACATCATCGGTAATCCTCATCTGATGTGAATATTCAGCCCGGTCTCATAGAAATGCATGATATGGACACAAGTTCTTCACAACGCATTACGTGGTGGTGGGCACAAAATGTGTTTAAATCACATGCTGTCAACACGAAAAGAATGTCGATGCAAAGTAAACGAGGATCTTTTGTCGTGGTGGACACACGAATTGAGTATAGAGAGCAAGAAAGTTCATGTAAAAATAGTGGGAGGGGTGGTGGTGGTGGATGGATCAAACAAACATGGACTTTCAATCAGGACACCGCGGTTCATGTCCTATGTGAATCAAAAGTCAACCTAGTTACATGACTTAACATAGTCATCAAACTATGTAACTATGCAAAGTACTTAACATAACTATGCTGAATACGTATGTTAACCAAAACCACGATAATTTCCTAAACCTAACTTTTTTTTTCTCTAAACCCAACAAAACTGCAAAAGTTCATTGTAGACTTTGCATTTGCATTGTTTTCATATTACCATGACGTAATGCGTCATTGAGAGGTTGTGTCCATTTCATGTTTTCCTGTAAGACTGTGCCAGAATATTTGGTTATTGTTTACTATTCAGTGATGCCTCTTTGTCATTCCAGCATCACGGTGGTGCAGTCTTATTTTGTGTACTGGGCAGGTATTGACTCTGCCGTGGTGCATGATGGGAGTCGTAGTCCTTGGAGTGGGAGTAACATCACAAAGGTGGATGAAGAGAATTCAGATTTTGTGCTACAGCAAGATGAAGCTCTGCCAGGTATGCAATTTGTTAAATTATGAATACAGAATATCTGATGGACAGCTTTGTACCCCTCTGTTTACCTGTAGTTCTACATTCAGTTAGTTACAAGTGGTAACTCCAGGCCAAGGCAAAACACCAACCAATCTTTCTGTCTCTCAGTCTGTATCTCACCATACCTTAAACCTTGCCGTTCTTTGACCTTGCTGCCTGACAGCTCTCGGATCCCTTAGAGCATCAATCAAAAAAACAATTCAGAAGGCAAGCCCTCCGACCACCCTAGGACCCCCTACGCCAACAAGCAGTGGAACCCAAGACTACAAATACCAGGAAAAACTAACAGAAGTCACTCGTTCCATCTTGGAGATGAACACCTCTGGGACTTTTGCATCAGATCAGGAGGCCAATGAATGGAACAGCCCTGTGACTTTAGGGTCTCTTCAAAATGCTACCAAAGTCAGTGAGACTGACCCATATGCAACTTCAGGATCCCCCTCAGGTGTGACTGAAGAGGCAGGCGCTGACACAGGAAACCCTTTTACTCATACAATAGCAGAGGCTACAGATATGGAAGCTGTTACCAATCTTTTGCCCAACATCACAGTCCAAAACTCAACCAGTCCTCTCTCCCTGCTGCAGACCCTTGCCTCCCTTCTCCCTCTTAAAGATGGCAAGATGCAAAGAAAAGAGGCAAAGAAAAACTTCCAGGATCCAAAACTGCCAACCATTCCTGGAACAAAAGACACAACATTAAATCCTGAAACCACCACCAAAGCTATACCATCACCCACTCATGGCTTCCAAAACCAAAATACACTCAAACCCACATCTCAACACCCAAGAAAGCTAATTCAGGACCAAACTAGTTCAGTTAAGTCTGTTACTCAGAGTAGCTCACCACAGCCCTGGAGGACTGCCCTGACTGGGTCCCACTTGAGTCTAATCAAGGATGAAATGGGTAGCCAGTATCTGCCTCAGAATCTTCACCTCAAACTTTTGCTCCACTACCAAATGTCTTCAACCAACCCTTTTCACCAGGCAACCTCTCCATCCAAACCTCCTCTCCAGTCCCAATCTAGTACAAGTCAGACCTCTCCCCTCTACCAGTCATTTGCAGCTAAGCTCTTTTCCAAGATCCAAACCTCTTCACCAAACCTCATTCAGCCATCCGAAGCTCCTAGCCATCAGTCCTTTCCCAACAAACCTGTGAGCAGTTTATCCAAACCTGAGTCTGAAAACAGTCAATTTGGGCAAAAAACTAGACCAGGGCAAACCAGTCCACCTCCCTATCAGCTTCATACAACTGCACCTCTGAGCAGCCCTCCTCATCCTAAACCTTTGAGCAGTTATCCCCAAGCCCTGCTTCAAACTATCCCAACTCAACCTCAGGAGCAAGCTAGCTTTCTCCAAATGGACCAGTCCCAAACATGGTCCAAGCCCCATTCCCAAACTGTTGCACCACAGGCGCAGAGCTCTGGGTGGAAGCAAATGCAATCTTCAGCAACTCCTGGATCAATCAACCCTCTGCCCTTCACATCAAGGGTTGACCTAACCTTAATACCAGGTGACAGTGCAGAGGTCAAAGATTTTCAGTCTCAGGCAAAGATTGAAACAATGAGCCCAATCTTTGCGTCCATTCCCTCAACAACTCCTTCTCCTTCTTTTGCAGTGTCTGACGGCCTGTCTAGATTTAATTCTTTACTCCATACTTTTCCTGCCTCTTCCTTTGTTCACTCTACCACTCCTCTTTATTCCTCTGGAGGTTCAACCCTGGTATCGATACAAACTTCTGTCACCCATGCTCCTTTCTCACCTTCCTTCTTTTCATCCTCCATGAAGAACCAAGCCAAAACAGCTCCAGCCCTTTCTGCTCTACCTTCTCCCACCCCAATCTCCATTCCTCCTCATTTGCCCTCTATCCAACCTTCCTCAACTTCCCCTAGGCCATCCTCCTTCAACTCTTCTACCAAATTCTCCTCAAACTCCAACTCCAACTATCCATCGCCAGCTTCCTTCTTTTCCTTAGTCTCTTTATCTACTTCTTCCTCTACTCTCATGGCCTCCTCCCAGTCTATCACAAGTTCAACCTATTTGTCGCCATCTTCTTCCACCATCTCTCCAGCACTCTCCTCTTCCTCATCGGTGTCTTCCATTTCTTCTCCTTCTATTCCCCCTTCACCTCCTCCTTCTTCCTCATACACCTCTACCTCTACCTCAACATCTTCATCACTGGATTTCACAAACCCGTCTGCCACCTCTTCTTCTATGGTGTCTTCGCAGTCTACTTCCCCTCTCCCAGGACCCTCTCCAGTTCCCCGTCGCTCTCTCTACAACCCCCTGACATCAACCTCCTCCCCTGTGCCTTTCCAACAACTCACCCCTGGTCAGAGGTTGCCCGTCCAGAACCACATCACATCATCTGATCCTGGGCCTAGCCTCAACCTACCAACATCAAGAACTGTGGTTCACCCAAACCCTGAACCCCATCCAAACCTTGACCCAAACTTCAAACTAAATCGTGGCCACGAGTTAAAACCAAACCTTCCCAACACTGACACTAATCCCAAACTCAAACGCCCCTCAAATCCCCCTGCAACTCCAGATAAGGAGGGGAAGTATCCAGACATTATCCCCAGACACAGTGCGTGGGAGCTGGGCATGCTGCTGGGCTGCTCAGCTGGCTTGGGCATGGTGCTGGTGGTGGGGGTAAGGTACATGTACCGCCAGGCCTGTGGCAAACGGACAGAGGTGACGCTGAATGACAGGGAGAGAGAATATGGGAGAGGAGAGAGAGGTCTGATCCATGTTCAGGAGTGTGGAGATTTGGTCCGAGTCCGGAGAATCAGAGAGAACAGTTTTGTGCTGCTGGCAGAGTACGATATACTGGCATCACCTGGAGACTAAAGACTGCTAATATAGATAGCTTTAGATATCAAAATATATCCTGAAATCAGAGCTGCTGGGAGGGAAGAAATATTCACAACAGGTAAAGTTCCCTTTGTAATATTACAGTCAACTAAATTAGCATAGAACTAACTGAAAAAAAAGAAATACACAAAGTTATTGATGGCTAGTTAGCTTAGCATGCTTTTACAATTGAGCCTTAGTCCTCCCCAAGTTTGTCACTGTTGCTACATCTGACAAGTTTGACAAAAAGAAACATGGTGAGACTGGTTTCTCTTATCCAGGTGCTGCAGTGTTTGCACTGCCAGGTTTGTGTTGCCCTTCTGGGCATCAGTAAAGTAAAGTTACTCTGTGTATTTATTACTGATTACAGAGCATAGTTCTGACCTAATGTTAGTCTTTCTTTACTTTAGAAAGTTAAGCTAGTTACTTCAGACAACATGTGTTCATGTTCATGAAGTGTTGTTCCAACAAACTTGTGCAGCTATGTGTCTGTGTCACTCTGCAGTTACACGTCCAAAACACTAGTCAGCAGCAGAGTTTCTGTGAAGTGCTGTAAAGTTCAGTTGATTTAAAACACACATTAAACATGACTTAATAGAGACAATTTCAAACACAAGTACGCAAACCAGCTTCACTATAACTCGCAGCATTCACAGACAAACACTTGTCTTTATCTGGACACATTTTCCCCACAAATACAACATGCTAATGCTATTAGCACAAACCTATGGCATTTTACATTGTATAAATTAGCCTAGTGATGAGCAGTTTTCCTCTGCTCATATGAAGCCAGGATAAATCACACACAAGTTGTGATCTATATAAACAGACTAGATGGGGGAATCTTTGACCCATGCTTATAAGCATTTTGAAGATGGGAAATTGGCGACGCAGATGATGACATAGAAGCCTGATTGTGGAAATTGTTGAATATTTTTTGCCGCACATCATTTTTGGCTTTTGTCTGAGTGTCCATTTTAGTATGGATCCTACGCATTGTATTACAATTGAGACCCCTGGTGATTAAAACTAGTAAAACTTGACTAAAGCAGATTCACATCACAAATCAGTGTTTCTATGACACTGTTCAGCGAGTCGTAGACAGGATGACAGCCTGACACCTGCTAATATGTGCTCACATTTTTTTCTCTGTTAACTTAAGATCCGGACATTTTTACTGGGTGTTGAATTATCCACAGACAGACCCAGTGATTTAAACCGGTAAAAACACTGAAAAAAACCCAGTTTCATGTTAATAAAACCCCCTGTGTTTTAACACCGTTGTCGCAGAGGGGCTGCTGACTTTGGTCGTCATTGCGAAAACGCGAATGGCCCCGTCTGGAGCCAGTGTTTGGTTTGTCCGTTCTGAACTACTGTAGAAACATGGCGGACTCTGTAGACAAGGACCTGCTCCCTATGTAGATACAAACAGCTCATTCTGAAGTAACGAAAATACAACAGTTCTTATTTTCAGGTGATTCTACGCTAAAATAAACACACTTATTAATATGACATATTCCATTTCTGCCGATACATCCCGCTACATCCTTTAACGCTTTAAGCTGCACAACCAAAGCTCTACATCAGAATTACCAGCATGTAGTTTGTTCCACCCACCTCCACACTGTGGGGTACATTCATCACAGCCTTCAGGGGCCAGGAGTTTTAATCTTGTTTTCCAAACAGCTAACTTGCACAAGAAAATGTTCTTGGCTAAATATTTTTGCCCCTCTAGAGATTTCTGCCTCAGACATGTTCAGAGGACTAAAAACTAAATCTGCTTCCTGATAGAAAGTAGGATATTTGCAAAGAAATTTAGGATGAAACACACCGTTTGGTGGACAGTGTTGTTGTTAGTGACACTGGGGCTGTGCGTCCAGCTCTGTAATTGTATAGTCAGAGAACGTATGTGTATAAATGCAGGATTTACATGCTGATAACTAACCAACACTCATGTACATGTACTTATGAGGTTAATCTCAAACTCATTCATACTTCATCTTTTTGTAAATTGCCATGTTATGCGCCTAATAATAAAATATATTTTCAGTATTATACATGTTGTCTTTCTTGATTTTAGCTCTTGTAGCTGTGAGGTTTCGTGGACCACAATGCTGGTTGTTGCTTAGTCATTTCAAATCACTTGGGTCTGTCTGTGTGTTAGAAGGCCTCTGGGGTCTGCTGGCAGGACTTTCACAGTCTTATTTCATTATTACTTCATCCAAACGGGGTGACAGAGGAGCCATCTGTCCAAAAAAAGATGGGTCAGTGGAATTAATGAGCTGCCAATAATTCCCTGAGTGTTTTTCCCCCCTTTGATCAGACAACAAATACACAAGTTTATTCCAAATTTTCAGTATCTAAACTGGCCCGAGGAGGAACGCTGCCTCAATGTGATACAGAGGAGCTCTTATTAGACACAGCGGTGTTAAGACTACAAGAGAAAGTTAGAAAAACAAATTCCAGATAGTGTAATCTCTGGAGGTGCAGATTAAAATCTGGTTTTCACAGTGTGCAGGAGCGTGTGATGATAAAGCCAACAAATACCTGGCCCATTTAACAGCCCCTAGATGAAGCACAGCACATCCTGATTTAAAACATCACAGTCCATTGAGTATAATATTGCGATAACACTCCCATATACTCTTAAATGTTCCTCTGATTCCTCTGCAGATAAATCCAGGTTAAAAAATAACCTGATGTTCATTATTAACTGAACAGAAAACATCAAGACGCTGCACCAGACCTGAAAAGAACATATTTTTTCAAAGTTTATTTCTGTATTTTAAACAAGTGAAAGAACACACTCATACATATCCTGCTCAATGTCTTTCTTTCCAAAACATACTTATAACAATCACACTGTAAACATAGACTGACCGTAAATTTGACTGTTGCTGGATGACCAATGAAATGGCATTTGTGCTATTGAGACTTCGATGACCTTCATATGAACAGCGTCTGATTTTAGTCTGTTAAGGCCCTGACACACCAAGATGACAGTCAGCTATCGGTGACCCTTGCCGCTGCGGTGTATTCCTAACGGTTGGCCCTCGTCAGCACTAATCGGCTTTTTTCCGCTAATTTAGCATTTTGAATCAGCCTTGGCGACTGTGAGCCTGACGGCGAATGAAATCACTCTGATTGGCAGTTCAGCTCAGCGCACAAGATGAGAAACCGAAGTGAGGAAAGTAAACAAAGAGCTTAAGTCAAGACCAAAACAAACTTGTTACACAAGGTCACATTATTTCCTTTCCCCATTGAGCTCTTCGGTAGAAACATTTCCTGATGGTTTGTGTTATTGGTAAGTGGTGCAGGGTAAATATGCTCTGTTCTTTCGACACTGGATTGTGCTGTTAATGTGCTAACTGGCTAACAAGCATCAAGACGGTCTTCTGGTTTCCCTTTTTGAATGATCATTTCAGACTTCCACCATCTGCTGGTGTTGAGTCATTTCCACTCACGCAAGCACAGAACGTACATGTTGGTTAGCTGTGAGCGAAGTCTTTCTGATGGATTCATGCGCAACTTTTTGGCCAAGACAAGGGTGACGCAGCAGAGGGCGTTCATCGCTGCTGGTTCTCTGAAGTCAGTTTGGTGTGTCTGGGCCTTTAGAGATGCGTAAATCTCGTCTAACTCCACTGAAAGTGTCCGCTGTCTGTTGATAAAAATCTGAAATTCTCAGTCAAGTTAACACTCTGATAGATAACGGAGGTTTCCATGAAGAATACGTTCCTTTTAATACAATAAATAACCTTTTGCTTCTCTTGTGTGCCCAGCAGGTTACTGGGAATGCAACAATAAGCTTCAGGTGTCTTTCAATATCTCATGTTCAAGATCTACATCTGGGGAGATTTCGATAAGTCCCAGTAAAGGTTGCCTCCCCTACCGACACCACGAGGATGTCGTATAGTCAGGAAAACGTCAACCTTATTGCCAGACATCAAAACAATTGAAATTGGAGGGTGCAAACTTCAAGATTATGTTCAGTCACGTTTTTTTATTGTCCAATGCCAGCGTGGTTAAAATACTACATTTTTTATTATCTGCTCCTGGAAACGAGGTTATGGCCAAGGTTACAGAAGTCTTGTATAGCCACACGCATCTCGTACTATGCTAGCACCAGAAAAAGAGCTATCTGAACCTCATAATTCCACACTAAGGGGAAAAAAGGGTCAGAGTTTTTACTAAACTACAGATATGTTTTTATTACTTATTTATTTATGTATTTATTTATAGTGCTTGTTTGTTTTTTATTGTGTCTGTATGAATATTTGTGTGAGTGAATGTATATGTAGCAGACTCCCTGAATTTCCTTCGGGATTAATAAAGTTCTATCTCATCTCATCTCATCTCATCTCATCTCTCTCTCTAAACCTGTGAAAAACGTTAAGGATATTGCCTGACCAGGAATTAATGGCCTATGAGAAGGTGTGAACCGTCCAACATGCAGCGGTGATTAAGGACATCTCAAAGGGCACTATCCACTTGCCGAAGAAAAAAAATTAAGAATGTTTATATTTTAATGTGTTTTGCAATAAAATCAAAAGTTTTATGACCCAGTTTCCCTGGTAACACCTTAGGATTACCGCCCCATAAGGTTCATATGCAATGGAAACATTTTTGACTTAAGTAAATGGGACGAACCTTGGATACGACTGGGCAACAGGAGATATTTCTAGTCTGCTTAGCACATAGAGCCCTCTGAACCAGAAAGCCAGAAGGCTAACGTGATGCTAGCAAGATTCAAAGTCAATAAAATTGTGTACCATTGACAAACGGTAAATATAATTTGACAATATGTTTAACTACAAGACGAGCTAGCTATCCAGCCATGTCACTGTCAACGATCGGGATTCGTTACTGTCGGCCGCAGCCTGACGTAGTGAACAGAATAGTTCTGCGTGTTACAGTATCCATCTGGTGGTGCTCAGAGGACCAGGCACTGAAGGACTACATACAGTGTTGAAAAATAAAAGTGTAAACAAAGGCTTTGACTGTCTCCCTGTTGCTATGGTTACTCATATTAGGCACAGATACTATGTAGCCAGTGCATTAATTTATGAATGTACAGTTTCACGGGAACTACTTAGGTGGTATTCATTATTAGTTTTAATGGACACTGCGGCCAGTCGGAATATGTGAGTATTCACCCACACCATGATGTACCTAAACACTGACATTAACTTTGCACAAACATTCATGGTTCCCAATATCTCTATAACTATTAGATCAATTGTGATGTGTCAGGTTCATGTTCCCCTCTGGATGAATTGACCCTTCGCTAAGCCCCGCCCCTTTGTGATGGTCCGTAAAGCTGTCGCAGTAAGCATGGAGCCCACACTGTAACTAATGGCACTCACTGAAGAAATGTTATATTTTTGGAAAAAATAAAGAGCAAATTCAGAGAAAAGGCGTCTACAGTCTGTGTTTGAAGGATATATCTAGGATGTCAAACTGACTCAGCAGTGAGAACAGGTCAAACAGGTTAAGACAGTGTACATGTATACATTCAGTAGGCTATATCTTCAGTAGCTAGCTAGCTAACCCTACACTTTTCAGGGTTTGATTTTGGAACAGTGAAGAAACTTATATTTTTTTCTAACCTCTCCAGGTAATGAATCTCATTAATACACGACGTGCCCCAGGCACAACATTTAGCTCCACATCCACAAAACCAGCCTGAAAATGAAGGGAATTTGAAACGACTGCATTAGAGTCAATGGAGCACAGCTGTGTTATTGTCAGACCCTGGTCTGAGCCGGCCTGATGCTACGTTATGACTGGCCAGTCTGTATTCGAGGGGCATGACTTAGCGAAGAGTCAATTGTAGTAACTTTGGCGATCCTCTGACTTTTACTTTAGTGCCACTGTCAGGTCAAACTCTTATTAGTATTGCTTTTTTTAACGACATTCCCAGCAGCCTGAGCTTTACTTTTTGTTTAGCTCAAATTAGTGAATATTACCATGCTAACACAAAAGCTGTGACCATGGTTATACCTGCTAGACATCAGCATGCTTCCATGGTCAAGATGAACAGTCAGAGATTTTGGTTGGTGATCAATATGATATTGGCAAATTGATACCACTCTCGATATCATTATATCACTCACATAGAATAGGGTATCATCTACATACAGATGTACTTGTGGACCGTTAGAAATGATCAGTACACTCCTGCCTTCTTATTGGTCCAAGCCAGAGCATGTGAGCGGAGCGGAGCGGGTGAAAATTTCCGCTCCTCGCTCACAGACCTGTCACTTTGCACTGCTCGTCCGCTCCGCTTGGTTCTGCGCATTCTTCGCTCCGCTCTGCTCCATCATAAATTTTATCCCGCTCCACTTGCTCACCACTCCACTCCACTGTCGTACTACCCTAACCTGTAATCTTCTATTCACAAATAAAATATGAGCTAGGTAGATTCTCCGGGGAAGCCCTCTCCCCGCAGTTACGGACCGTTCTACACGGTACCGCTGGCAGGGTGGAAATAAGTCAAAGCGTAGAGGAGACGAACCAGGTTAAGTGGCCGACCTCCAGGGAAGCCCTTTCGCCTCTCCCCGCAGTTAGGGACCGTTCTCCAAGGTACCGCTGCTTCTTTTCTCAGTTTCTTTTCTGAAGTACACAGTAAACTCCATAGTTTTGAAAGAAAATAGTGTGGGTGTGTGCAGGTGGAAAGATGCATTCTGGGTGGGGCATGAGCGACCGGAGCGAAATTGGAGCGAGAGATAAGGCTCCGCTCCAATCCAGTGACACAGATTATGAGGTGTACAGCTAACGATGTGAACCGTAGTTTGTTCAAGACAAACATCAAAAACAGATAAATGTTTGAATAATGTAAGAAAAAGATGTAAATAAGAGGTACACGAAAGATAAAGTGATACTCTGCGTGTTAAATTGGACTCCCTACCTCCTGTTCGTGTCAACACTTGATCATTTGGAAAGATCATCACCACAGGACTGCTTCTTGTCAACAAACACAAGTGTTATCTTAGAAAGTGACAGAAAAACAACCCTCATTATTAAACTGTATATTAAATTTCAGACAATCCAGCATTATTTCGTTTCAGTCAACAACATAAATGTGACAAGTGTCCACATTTTCTGGCAGTGACAGCTCGGATAAAAGTAGAGTAGAAAAAAAGTAGAAAATCGCAAGAAACATAAAAAAGAATGGTCCCAGTAACTCTTTCATTCATGTTCCTGCTGCGAGGTGCTGTTTTCCAACCAAACACTCCATTTGTCTTTAAGGAAAACAGCTGTCCTCTTTCTGCAGGAATTTTTGGGTATTTTATATAAAAATAAATCTTGTGGATTCTTTTAAATATAAAGGAATATATATGATGGAAATATGAGCTTTTCGTTGTCGTAGAAACTGAGAATATCAAGGCGACTGGTGCGCCTCACTCCGTCCATGGCGCTGAGGTCTCTGTTGTTTGTAATAAGGCACATACTACTGTATTCTTCCGCTTTTGCACACTTGTGCACCAAAACGCTTGTCTCCTCCTCGTCAGATGGGCTGAAGAGTCGACAGTTTCACCGCCTGAACAGAGAGGAAGGAAGAACAAAACGTGTCAGAGACTCAGACAGGACAATGAACAGAGGAGAGAACGTGAGAGAAAGTTCCAGTGTGTGCTAAAATGTGAGAATTCCCAAAGCAAGTCTGGTGAGTGAGTCCGCCACCAACACCAAATTATCTGTGATAAGACAGAAGAGTAAAAAGAGACGGCTGACAGAGTGAAAGTTTGAACATGAACCTCCGGTGTACTCTGGTATTATTTCACTTCCTGTATCTGTCAAAATTAAACACATTCTCCTGTTAGTGAAGTTTCTGTCTGTCACAGCTGCTGCAGTTAGTCTAACTTCACAACCAGGTGAGTGCCAGCTTTCTGCAGTAACTTCATATCTAAAAGGGACAGTTCACCACAAAACTAACCTGTAGTGCTGTTTGTTAGAGGTATGGACTTGAATCACGTTACTCCGACTCGTGTCAAAGTCTAGTCACAATTTATTACTATTACTTTAAAGTCTACTTGACAAGATCAGAAAAGACTTGCAACACAACTTTGACTTCAACACCAATGACGAGTGACTTCACTTGGACTTGAGCCTTTTCGCCCCGTTTCCACCAAACACTTTCGGTATAGTACCTTTGGAACCAACAGTGACCCTTCAGACATGGTAGCTAGACCCTCAGTCCGGTTAGCACTTCCACCACAGACAGTACCCATAAATGTGGGCGGGGTTGTGGTCACTCACTGCATTTCCTCATCAGCGGTGACACAGATGGAAGTCTGCACCTGGTTTATTGTCCACAGATTGTGTTTGTATGTCTACATTTTCATAACAAAATAGAACAGGCTGCAGTGAGAGTCTCTCTCCATGGGATATTTAAAAATAGCAGCTTTGTGCATTTAGTCCTTCTCAGGCAAGCTCAGGGGTTTAGTGAAGTTATCGGCCGTACAGTATAATGGAACTAGATGGTACTCTGCTTGTGGTGCTCAAAGCGCCAAAAAACATTAATTAGAAAAACTCAACGGTAATATCTCTTCCCAGAAACCCTGACCTGGTCACTCCAGATAATCCACAGAGCTTGTTGTGAGCGTGATAAACAGACTGATAAACAGCACTACAGGTGAGAGGAAATATATGTGTTTGATTTACGGGGGAACTGTCCCTTTAAAAATCCCATAAAACGAAGAAACCCACTCACTGTAATCAGAGTGAAGGATGAGGAGAAATAGAGCTGAAACCATTAGTCAGTTATTCTAATGGAGAAAATAAATCAGCAGCTGTTTTTATAAACAATTAATTTACAACAGAAATGTTAAATCTCTAAAAACAGGATTTGTATTTCTTTGTGTGACATCATCATAAACTTAATGTTTGGGTTTAAGACTGTTGGTCGGACAGACATTATTGCAGATACACTGAATCTATGGATGCACTCATGGGCGGATACTGAGACAACAGGGCCCCTGGGCACAGACATGCAGAGGTCCCCACCACCTCGCCCACACAGGAGGTTTTTGTTTTTCCTTTTTGTTGTTGTTTTGTGTCTTTTTGATGACATTTTGTGTCTCTTCAAAGTCATTCTGTGTCTATTTGTTATGACTTCATGTCTCAGTTTGTCATTTTGCATCTTCTTATGGTTGTTTGTGTCTCTGTGGTTGTTTCAGGGTTTTTTTGTTGTTTTTTGGTCAGTTTGTCTTTTTTTAGTAATTTTTGTGTCTATTTGTTATGATTTTATGTCTTACTTTGTCATTTTGTGTCTCTTAGATAATTTTGTGTCGTTTTTGTTTGTTTTGTGTTGCTTTAAAGTCATTCTTTGTCTATTTGTTATGACTTCATGTCTCAATTTGTCATTTAACATCTTGTTATGGTTGTTTTGTGTCTCTTTGTGGTCATTTGGGAGTTTTTGTTGTTTTTGGCATCAGTTTGTGTCCCCTCGAGATAAACTTTGTGCCTTTTTTAGTCATTTTGTGTCTATTTGTTGTGATTTTATGTCTTACTTTGTCATTTTGTGTCTCTTTTAGATAATTTTGTGTCGTTTTTGTTTGTTTTGTGTCGCTTTCAATCAATTCAATTTGTATCTATTTATTATGGTGCTGTGTCTTTCTATGCCATTTTCTGTCTTCTTATAGTTGTTTTGTGTCTCTTTGTGGTCACTTTTTGTTTTTCGGCCAGTTTCTGTCACTGTGAGACAAAATGTGTGTCTTTCTTTGTCATTTTGTGTGTCTTTGTACAGTTGTCGTTTTGTTGTTTTTCATCAGTTAGTGTCTCTGAGGTAAAATCTGTGTCTTTTTCTGTCTATTTGTTCTGATTTTGTGTCTTCTCACAGTCGTTTTGTGTCCCTTTGAGGTAATATTCAGTCTGTTTTGGTCATTTTGTGTCTGTGTTTTTTACCTCTATTTGTAGCCATTTTGTGTCTTTATGACCTGTTTGCGTCTCTTTATTGTCAGTTTGAAGCTCGCTGGTTGGTTATTTGTTAATTTCAGTGACATGTCCCCAGTAGGCCTGTTCAGTTATCCATCCATGGCTACACCTAATGATTCATTTTATTATTTTCTCAGTTTATCTATTGCTTGTGAATAAAATGTCTTAAAATAGTGTAAACATCTATTACAGTTTCCTGAAGGTGATGTCTTTGAGGTGCCTTTATTTATTTATTTTTTTCAAACCAACAGTCCAAAACCAAAAGACATTTAGTTTAGGTCCATAAAACAGAAAAAGTAAAACAAGTTGTAAATTCTCACATTTTAGAAGCTGGAAACAGCAAATATTTGGAATAACTTAAAGGATTATTTGATTATTAAGTGTTGGCGTCTAGTTTGAATTGACTAACTGTTGGAGCACTGGTCTGTGAATATGTTTCACAAAAAGTGCACATGCATAGAAATGACGATCAACCCGCGCTGTCACTTTAAAAAATATAATATAAATATAAGAAGTAAAAAGAGGTTAAATTACAGAAAATTTAACAGTTTTTTTAACAGTGGAATATCTTGAACTTAAAACATAATTCAACTAAAAAACAAATAAACAGTGAAAGAAGGGATGAATTAATATGTATGTATAAATATAAACATGGCACAAGAGGAGTCGCTGTCGGCAGAGGAGCTGTGGAGTGCGAATACTCTAAGCAACATGCATCAGAATGAATTACAATATCATTACTGTGATTTACAGTAACTGTCCGGCATCACTGCAATCACCATAATTACCACACCCACCACCATCAGACCAGCGCATCACCACTGGTGCTCAGTCACAGTGAAGCAGGTGGTTCATGCAGACTGCCAGCAGAGGGAGCTGTTGCACACAGAGCTTGTTTTTAAAACCACCCTCAGCATGAAGGGAGAGCAGTTTAAAATACACGATCACAGCTGATCTGCAGTTTTGTTCATGACAGGCGAGAAGAAGAATTATTTTTGATGATTCTGGAGTCAGTTCCTTACTCACTCTGGGCAGCAGTGTTGGAATGCGGCCCTATCTCAACAACAGACTAGACTGTAGGAGAGGAGAGAAGGTGAAGAGGTTAGTGTTGGAATGCAGCCCGCTATCTTGTCTTATCCTCAGCCACCATCTGTGGTCGAATGATGGATATCACCACCCCGAGTCTAGAGTGCAAGATACTCTCATTTTAATCTAGGGCTGGGCGGTATGGCCTAAAATCAATATCACGGTATTATTTTGGGAAGATGCATACAAGTCTAGGATGGAAACTATTTATCATCAGAAGTAAAACGGTTGCTAATCCATCTATTATTATGTATAAAACGTTATACAGTATGGACATTCACCGCCTTAACTTTCGTTCATGACCCAGTGTGTTTCCCACTGACTCCAGTGAGCACTGTCAAACTATAACGGCAACTGGCCATGTATCATGCCAATGTTTAGGGCGGCTTTTTCGTTGGTTTCTGACGTCGCAAGACACTGCCCAAGCATCGGATTTTGACGACTTCGGAGTGAGACCAGGCTCATCATTGAAGACAACAATGGCTTTGTTGTATGATGGAGGCAGACGAGAAGACGCTGCTCGGCGAATGGAACATTTACATTATAAAAATACCCAGATGGAAGTGTTGATAGGAGCATCGTCCTCCACCGTTTCTGCAGTGGGGAGTTTTCGTACCGTCGAAGTACTTCCAGTCTGAAATATCACTGCAACGCAAAGCATATCGCAGTTAACCCAGAGGTCCAAGCTAGCACTAGCAGCCAGCCTCGTCAAGTCACGCTCGACCAGGCGTTCCAACGCAAACTGAGTAAGGGCGCTTTCAGACCTTTGGTCCGAATCAGGAACGTAGCTGCATAATTGCTTAGAGTTGGTTCGTGTTCACACGGCAGCATTTACAAGCGGTAAAAATCAATAAATTATATTCCTTTAGTCCGCAAGGGTCCACTGCTTTTGTGGCTCCCTCTTCTTCTGTGGTGTGTGCTGACAGTTTGACGGCAGATGATAAAAGTGGATCAGTGTGGAGCCATGAGGAGAATAACACTCCTCAAATGACTGCCTGAAACAAACAGATATGTCATATCTCCATCCTGTTTTCCACGTTATTTTTCACTGTTTGAGGTTTGACTGGTGTTCGTTTTGTTGCGCCCTCGTCTTCTTCTTCAGTGGTATAATGACACCTGACTGCTGCTGATCTCTGTCAACCTGCTGACAGTTTGCACACCCTATCAGAATCTTATCTGTTCATTCGGGTGTGAACCAGTGTTTGTGTGTGTGCGAACCAGTGTTTGTGTGTGTACCTTCTGCCGACTGGTCATCCAGCTGCGGATGGTCGGTACGAGGACGGAGCCGAGCAGGATCTGAGCCGGATGGTAGATCAACAGAGGGACTGAGATCAGAGAGAGATGCTCGTAGCCCTCAAACACGATCTTTAACATGGGGATACCTGCAGGGAGCGAGGGAGGACACAACACAGAGGAAAATGAAGACGCTCCGACACTCTGCGTCCGGACTTCAAGGTCTAATCCCTGAAGTTCTCAGATGGAAACTGTTGGCCAAACAAAAATCTTTAATTCTAATTAATGTGAGGCGATGAAACATAGATCGTCCTCTCCTCTTTTATCTCCTCTATGACCTCGATCACACCTCAGACTCCAGCAGACGATTGTCTTTGGAGCAGATGTCTCATACAAGGACTGAGAGGTGGAATAATATATATAACATAATGTATATTTAATTTTCAATAACTATTTTTTATTACTAAAGGCCTGTGGACATTTTTGCATTTTTTCGCTGATAAAGTTTTATTTGTTTGTTTAATTTTTATGAATGACTTTATTTAGAGCCAAAATGAAACGGCATGTTTCACCGACATGCTTGACAATCGGTTCACATGTGTATCATGTGTAGGTGCACAAAGAAGTCTCTTGGACCCACTGCCTAAACCCAACAGGAAGTCGGCCATTTTGAGGGTTTCCCACATGTTGTGTTTTAACAAACTCCTCCTACAGATTTCATCAGATTGCCTTCAAACTCACTTTGTGCGAGCTCGACTACTTTGTGATCAAAAGTTATTAAAAGCTCTACCTCACGTTGAAGGGCACGCCCGCTGCGGAGCGCTGAATTTTGATGTCTCATCACGAAACAGGAAATTGCTATAACTTTGTTGTAAATGGTCCGATCTCCACCTCACCACACATGATTCATTAGTCCTGCCCTGAACACATCTATATGACAATATTCTGTGACAGTCATAGCGCCACCTAGTGGCATCAGGCAGTGCTACTTATCAGACACTTATCTTTTGATTTACCTGAATTTTACATGCTTTGGTCAATATTTAATGTACAAAAACATGACAGTGTGTTCTCCAGCGCCCTCGAGTGGAGAGAGGAAGTACTACATATTGAGTAATAGGTCATTTCCGGCTTCACGTTGAGCTTCAGGTCAGATAAAATCCACCTGAGTGTCATCTGAACGCTTCAGCAGAAGGGACACATCTTTACATATATTATACAGATATTACATATCCTGCATACTTCTTAATTTTACATGTCGTAACTTCCTGTGTTTTTCGATGTTTCTGAATCCTCAAATTTTCAGATTATTTCCAGGTTCATGCAAAAAATATTAGATATTTTTTCAATGCTACTAATCCAGTGTGTGTGTGTGTGTGTGTGTGTGTGTGTGTGTGTGTGTGTACCTACCCAGAGTGAGAGACTTGTGTGTGGAGCAGAACATGATGGCGACAGTGTCTGCAGGGCTGAATCCTGATCCTGACCTGCAGAGACAAACAGGAAGTTAAGTGCTGTGTCCTCTGACCTTTGCTATCTGTACATGTACAGTACGATGAGATAGAGCTGCAAATGCAGAGGGAAATGTCTGTGCAGCAGTTACAAAACAAAGTGGGAGGAGTGCTAAAATGTGCAGCAGTCTTTATACTTGTTACTGTGAATATGAGACGTGAAGTTTTCTGCTGGCTTGAGGCAGTTTTTGACAGTTAACAGTTATAAAATATTTGTTGGATAAATAACGACAAAGCAACACGAGCAAAACACAACTGGTCAGCTCTGGATGTTCTCATGACACATTCAGGTGGCATTTTACTGCAACACGTGTGCACGATTTGTCGGGCAAACGAGCAGAAGGGCCTCGACACACCGAGTCGACAGGAGGATGTCCGTCAACTGGCTGTTGATGAGCGTTTTTCAGGGGATTTAGCGTGTTGAAACAGAGTCACAGACGTCGGAAGAGATGAGAAGAAGACGAGAAACGGGAGCGAAGAAAGTAAAGGAATGGATAAGACTTTGTTCTTTTGCCATCGTGTTGTGTTAATGTGCTAACTGGCTAACCAGCATCTTGAATCCATCCTGTCGGTCTTCCAGGTTCCCTTTTTGAATGACAAATACAGAGTACCGCCACCTGCTGGTGTGGAGAGTTATCTCCTCTTACGCAGGTGCAGAATGTTCGTGCTGACTGGCTGTTGTCTTAGCGGTGCATTCAAGTGCAACTTTTCGGCTGAGACACAAGCGACTTGAGGCAACGCAACAGTCAGCCTTCGTTCTACTCGTGCGTTGTGTGTTTGGGCCTTTAATACAGGGTGTCTACAGCTATGTGACAGTTAAATTTAATTTCCAAGACCCGTTAGAGACACCTTATAACCAAATTTAGGACAGATTTTTGGACAAATCATGTTTACTTATTTAAGTATTGCAGGTTAGTAGTGTATCTGTGGTAAAGGCAAACCAAGATATTGTTGAATAAAATGTGAAATGGATGAAATGAAGAGAGGAAGAAGAAGTGGAAGGGAGAGTTAAAGAGGAGGAAGAGGAGGAGGAGGTGCAGACTCACCTGGTGGAGAAGGCAAACGTGAGCAGCATGAAGCTGAGCTGGATGGAGAAAACTGCAACAAGACAGACAAATTTCACTTGCAGATTTGTCGGCTGCACATCCATGATGAGAATCCCAGTAGATACTCAGACCAGCCCGTCTGGCACCAACAGCCATGCCAACTAACATCTATTTCTTACTGGTTGCCAGAAGAATGGTTGGATGAAAGTATGGACTAGACCTAAACAACAATTGTCTGAATAAAAAGGCTTCACACACACACACACACACACACACACACACACAGACACACACACGGGGTACTGACTGATGAGGATGACCATCAGCAGGCTGGTGGGGTCCAGCTCGATGTTGGGGTTACTGAAGGTGTCACAGAAGGTGGTGTAGATGATCATGAGCAGGACGGCGCTGCTGACGGTGCCGAACGGAAGCTTCCGCCGCTCCAGATACTCCCTGAGGAAACTACGACACACCTGCACATGCCCAGAACAAAAAGCTCACCGGCTGCACACAACATTTAAAACACACGTTTAACCCTTTCTGTGTCAAACACTCTGATTCCTACCTGACCCAGGATCAGAGGAACCACCACGGTCATGAAGAGCTGAGAGAAGATGGAGGAGAAGGGAACGGAGGATGACGAGCCGAGCTGGAGGAGGAGCACCGGGAGAAGATGACAAAAACACTGTCACATCACGTTATTTACATTTATTGCGTGTGAATGCTGAAAGCTTCGGAATTCTTTGATATTATTACTCTTCAACCCATTTTCCACATTTTTCAACACACAATCTTCATTTAAACATAAAAATACAAAATATTCAGCTCACTCATCTGCTTTGTATTTTTCTCATTCATAACATTCATAGTTTCTAAAATATTCAGCGTTTTTCTGGCATTTTTTTCCCATTCAAATGAATGGGGGAATCTTCAAACTGGACACAACTTAATGCTTTTTCATGCACTTTCAAAGCCCATCTCCTTACTCACACATTCACTTAGAAACTCCATTCAAACTTTAAAATGTTCCTCAATCTTTTGTACATTCAACTTTAATTCAACTTTCAAATCCCACTCAGTCTTTTTGAAATATTCAGACTTATTCAGAGCATAGTAAAAATGCCTAATGGGTCTCTATGGGCGGAATGTTTCAGAGCTAGAGTGAAGGACTCAACTTGCTGCCACGTCCACAATTTTTCCTCTGCATACATCATTTTTGGTCAAAATGGAGTAACAATTGTGCTCTTTCAAACAATGTTACTTTGGAAGCAATCAGACCAACACACTTGGCACAGTGAGGCTGAAAGTGAGAGAAACTCCACCAGCTGACGCAGTTAACTCCATGTTAAGAGAGACCAGAAATCTCTGGAGGACAGCAGATCATACCTGTTTTCTAACCTGCCACCGTTCTCACATTTTTGACACTACAGACACAAATTTCACACTGCTTATTCCTCAAGTTGTCCTCTCTCTCAGGGTATGCAAATTATAATGATCTGAATTACTGTTTTTGAGGAAAGGCCAGAAGTTTGAGAGGTGTGCTTCTGCAAAACACCTGCATTCTCTAGTGTATTTATCTGGAGTAACAAATAATGAGCCAACTTTGTGGAGGTTAATATTGCAGATTAAATTTGTTGTGTCAATAGAATATAATAGAATAAAGCCTTTACTGTCATTGTACAGAATACAAAAAAAAGCAACACTAGACCAGGTCAGTGTAGTAAAAAGACAGAGGGAGACGCCACAAAAACAAACTCAGCCAATAAACATCAACAGCCGACAACGCCGGTTCTAAAATAAGTCAAATAAATAAATATAGTGCAATCCTGTAATAGAATAGGTGTATTTATTTCACCACAATAAATGAATTTATTGTCAAGATCCAGCAGATTGTCCCAGAGTTTTCTCTCTGACAACAGCTGCCTCAACCACATATTTCCCTCAGGAGTTGGTAGAGACCAAAAACAGAGTTAAAAGAGAGCGGATACTGGACTTGCACTCATCAGGTGGACACACACGCCTCTCCTAAGGAATGATAATGTTGCTCTGTAACTGCTGGATGTTTATTAAGGCGACTGTCTGTTGATAAATTCACAATGAGCTTTAACATATTATCACTTTTAGGTGATAACATGTTAAATAAAGTTGCGTTTTGGGAAATATTCTTAATGGCTAACTGGCAGAGAGTAAGATGAAAGATGTTGATTTGTGAACTTTAGAGGTGCTGGTAGGCAGATTATTTTCTACCTTAAGAGCCATGCTAGCTGTTTCCCCCTGCGTCCAAACTTGGTGCTAAGCTAAGCTAACTGCCTCCTGACTGCAGCTTCATATGCATCACACAGACATCAGAGTGGTGTCAATCTCAAGGTCAACTCTCAGTAAGAAGGTGAAAAAGGTAAATAACAAAGTGTGTAAAAACTCAGCAGGTCTGACTTACAAACAGCAGCAGCAGCACTGGAGTCACGATGATTCCCTGCAGGACAGAAAGACACGATTACAGCTCCGACTCCCCACAGAGCTCACGCTGAGCTTTCATTACTGCTCCATGTGTTTAAGGGAGATTCATCTCATCTTACCAGGAAGCTTCCGAACGCTGAGTTGAAGATGGCAGCAGCCTGAAACACACACACACACACACACACACACACACACAGTCAGTCTCTATGACAACGTGCCAACACACGGCTCATGACTTTACAATATTACACCATTTGTCAAAGACTGCAGGATAATGACCTGCTAACGTGTGTGTGTGTGTTGGTGTGTGTGTTACCTCGTTGCCTCCGACAGCCTTGGTGAGAATAACAGCTGACGAGACCGGAGGGGGCATGCAGCTCACGGTTTGTAACCTAGGCAACAACAGCAACAGGATGAAGACGAGAAAAACGATGAAGAAAAAAAGGCAAGAAGAGTCATCTTCATATTTCTCTTTCCTCGGATGCCTTCCTTTAAAAGGTCAGAGGTCAGGGTCTGAAGCCGACATACGTGTGAACCTCCACCTCCTTCCAAAATGTATTGAGAAGGGAAAGAAGTCTGAAGAGGTCCAACTCCAGGCATTGTGCCTTTCTGCAAACCATGGATATGTTACGTAACCCGCTGCCTCTGCACGCCCGTCGCCAGGCACCAGACGCAGGGCTCAGGATCGTTGTTGAGAGCTTGACTGCGTTTTATTTCACAGTAACACTGTCGACCTCTGCTGCTGGCATCACATCCTTACAGGGCAAGTCACAGTAAAGTATGAAATACAAACAGCGCAAATGTCAAAACTACGGTGTCCTGCCAGGGCCAAACAGTGTGAACTGCCAAATATGCTGTGGAATAGACAGCACACCAAGTGACTCTAACAGGTAGCAGCCTTACTATTACATTTCCACGATATTATGTAGCAGATAAGTTGAAACTTTACGTTTCATGTGGTTAACATGTGGTTAAGTTTAGGTACAAAATACACTCGATGTCTTTTTGTAGCACTATTCCAACAAAAAATCCAGAGGAGATGTCTCTGTTAAAAAGTAGTTTTTTGTGATCCCGGCAGGAAGCTTAGTGATGTCTCAGTAAAAAATAACCGCCTTTCGTGGCACTATTCCGGCAGGAAACTTTGTGAAGTCTCGGTAAAGAACAATCACTTTTTGTGGCACTATCCCGGCAGGAAACTTTGTGATGTTTCAGTAAAAAATAACCACTTTTCGTGGCACTATCCCGGCAGGAAACTTATGTCTCAGTAAAAAACAACCATTTTTCGTGGCGCTATCCCGGCAGGACACTTTATGATGTTTCAGTAAAAAATAACCACTTTTCGTGGCACTATCCCGGCAGGACACTTTATGATGTTTCAGTAAAAAATAACCACTTTTCGTGGCACTATCCCGGCAGGACACTTTATGATGTTTCAGTAAAAAATAACCACTTTTCGTGGCACTATCCAGGCAGGAAACTTATGTCTCAGTAAAAAACAACCATTTTTCGTGGCACTATCCAGGCAGGAAACTTATGTCTCAGTAAAAACCAACTGCTTTTCGTGGCACTCTCCCGGCAGGACACTTTATGATGTTTCAGTAAAAAATAACCACTTTTCGTGGCACTATCCAGGCAGGAAACTTTGTGATGTTTCAGTAAAAAATAACCACTTTTCGTGGCACTATCCCGGCAGGAAACTCTGTGATGTCTCAGTAAGAAACAACTGTAGTTGTTCTTTGTTGGTCTTCAACAGTTGTCAGCTGGTTGGCAGGCACCTCGTCTAGATGTCAGGCTAAACACCATCCCCTCCACCTCCTGTTGACAGTCGGCTCATAACTACGTCACTTTAGAAACACTGATATGACACATATAAAACATACAACTGTAGCGTATTCGTGGTTTGCAGGAACGTACAATGGCAACATTTTCCTCTGCGACTGAACCCTCAAACAGCTCTTTAAAATCTGTCCCAACAGTGAGGAGCAGTCAAAATGTCCTCCCTTTCCAAAAACGTCCTCACTCCTGAAGTCCAACACTCAAACCGGTCCTCACATATGTAGATGTAACAGCACACACACAGACACACAGTGCGGCCTGTGGCAGCAGTGAATGTGGGTCTTTGTGTCTGTACATAACTCGCCCTTCAGGTACAGTCAGGCAGGGACCAAATAAAGGACGGCATTCACACACACACACACACACACACACACACACACACACACACACACACACACACACACTCGTCCTACCCTCTGAGCAGCCACTGGTCGATGGCGGTGAGTGCGAGCACTTTGAGCAGCAGCCAGATGACCAGCGGGAAGAAGATGAGCGTGAAGGACTGCACAAAGAGGTGGAGCCGAACGTGAAGCAGCGCACTCGTCAACTCCTACGGACACATCAGGCACATTCATCAGCTGCTTCCATCACCGTTATAAATAAAGTTTATACAGCGACAGTGGGGGGGTTCTCACCTCTGTTTTCAATGACAGGCCGCTGTTGAAGAAAATGAGCGAGACGGCGACATACGCGATGGTGATCTCTGGCTTTAACGGACCTGAGAGAGAAGAAAATGCACTGAATTATCACTGCAATACGAGTATTACTTCTCTTCACCAACCACCAAACCTAACCACGCTGGTTGTTAGTGCTTTTATTTTGAAAGAGACTGCATGTAATATTACAATTCCTGTGAAACATGAAGTGTATTTTGAAAGAAGACAATGCACGTAACAGGCAGAACTTGACACGGTGTCCCAGATCATATGTGGATGTGGAAAGTCCATGAGCAAACATGACGAGGTCGGAGTGAGAATGTGTTGTGAGTTTTCACTAAAACACATAAACACGTCAGTACCAACAGTCTCGTGCACGGCCGAGTCGGCTGCCTTGGGAAGTTCTGAGCGTACGACAGGATGAATGAGACTTGGATCACACTGCCGGAGCTGTGTGAGAGCTTGTTAACAGATATTCTGATATAGTTTTGCTGTTATGAACGAGGTCCCAGTTTATTTCACCTCCTCCAGATTATTCTCAGTTTTTTTGGATTCTTCGTTCACCGTGGAGGCCTGAGAGAAAAGAAATGTTTTATTCACTAATTCAATGTAACACCCAGAGACGGGCAAGTCACGGCTAATCTCTGACTGACTGGTTTCTCTCCCTTCTTGTGAACTCTGTCACCAGCATCACATCTAACTGTCTCTGGTCCTCCATCATTATCACTTACTTCTGGTTTCTTATATTAATTCCTGTTTGTCATGTTTGTGTCATTGAGGGTGATTTATTATGTTTTGAGTGCTTTATGCCTGGTTCACACTACACGACATTTGTGTCCGTTCCGACAGTCACTGTGTCAGATTAGGCGATTGTGGAGTCATACGACAGACATGACACACTACACGATGGTTCACACCAATCATCCCTGGTCTTCTTTCACGACGTGTGTGATGTCGTCGGGTTATTCTTGTCCTGTTTTTATTATTATTATTATTATTTCAGTCACTGTGTCTGTTCATGTGCCAGCTAGAAGCTATAAGTATCGCATCGGAAAATTATGATGGAAACGCCAAAATTCAAATTAAAATCCGCTGATTCGCACAAACTAAAATACGCTCGCTTTAGCCGGGTTTTGGTTGATTCGAAAAAATGTTGATTTGCAAAACGGGGGATGGAAACAGTTATGTTCGAATTAAGTCTGACGTATCGCACCTCTCTCCATGGTGATATCCACACTCCGGATCGGGAAGGCGGTAATGCATTTACAAGCTGGTTGCCAACTGCCAGAAAACATAGAAGACGAAGAATGCGAGACTTGTTTTGTTTCTGGTTCTGCGGAAAACTCGCGCGAGTTCGTAGTTTTCACTAAAGTCCGTACATTTAATGGAAACACACAGGATTTGTATTTCTTTTAATGCACATTTCCCAATGATTCGAATCACTTTTGGACGGAAACATAGCTAGTGACAGCCACTGCATCCTCCACAAGTTCCTGCACATGTTTCACAATAAAAGCCTGTTTAGAAAATGGAGGGATTCTCTCAGCTGAGGTTATAAGGGGCTTTTAATTTGAAACAGATACAGGAAGTGATGAGTTTGAAATGACGGTGCGATGCATTAACTTTATAAAGACAACGGGAGCGGATAAAAAGTGAAAATATAAAAATACAGAGGGATTAATAAATATTAATATATAGCCTCTGCAGTTGTGGTGAGTAAAAGCCACTATTTTTTAATTTTCTTACTTTATATCCTCCATTAATAAGAGGTAACACTGTTTGCTAGCTTGATGCTAATGGCAGTACTCAGCAGGTTGACAACGTGCCTCTGTTGTTTCACACCATCATTTTCCCTTCTCACTCTGTGTGCTAACATGCCTACAGGAAATATCAATAAAACTGGGCTGTTGTTGTCGTACAGTTTCCACGGCAGCACATCGCTCTGTGTTCCTACTGGTCAAAGTGACGGCTGTGACGGGAGAAGTCGTGAATGACGGAAAGAAAATCAAACATGCTAGACTTTGTGTTGGAACGTCGTGGGGCGTCCCAGACGTGGCGTCAGTTGTCGTCTACTAAGACACACTACACGAGATGAAACGATGCATTATCACGTAGGACACTCATTGTCGTTCACGATCAGGCTGATATCGTGTAGTGTGAACCCAACATTATACGCTCTCTTTTAAGTGTACAATATCACTGATGACATGTTTTTATATATCACTGAGGGCGATGTTGTATAAAGTTCACCTGCCTTTAAATATTTAAGTTTAACTTTATCCCTAACGTCAGATCCTTTTGTTAGTTATCATGAGCTATACACTTTATACATATTTCAGCTTTATACGTTATGAGTTTGTTGTCCGTTCACACATTGTTTCTTGTCTTTGTTATACGTTTGTTATATTTTTCAGTTTCTGACACTTTATGTGCAGGTTTGTCACAATATTTAATAATTCTTATTTTATTTCACTGTTGTTTCTTTTCTATTTATTTGGCATTTAACCTTTTTTTCTTGTGATTAAATATGTTAATTTTTTATAGTATACATTTATGTCATTTGTATTTGCAATTTCTGTTAATGTGGTTTCTGTGTAGTAGGGCTACTCCAATGCATTTTACACCCCGATGAAGACTCTCGTCGAAACACGTTGGTTATACATGGATTTTTAACTACAGTCAGTGCCTCAGATGCATTTTTGGACTGGCTGCCTGTACTGTGGACTTTTACACTGAGGGAACTGGCCAGTAAAATGCAGTTGAACTTCTTAAATGCCCATTTGTCCTCTGACTCCCGACAGTAACACTGTCACATCCTGGCAAAGAGATAATATATATATTATAAATGTCTAAAAAAATATTTCCTTCATGTAAGTTGTGAAAAAATGCTTGAATTAAATGTTTAAAACTTTAAGATATAAAAGAAAGTCTCATAAAAAAGGTTAAAAACAAGACATTTGTAAACCATTAATTATTATGTCATCATTATTATTTCTGATTTCAGCTTCTAAATGTGAATATTTTCTGGTTTATCGTGACAATAAACTGAATATCTTTGAGGAAACACTGATAAATATTCTGTATTTTTTGACATTTTTAGATCAAACAACTAGTCGATTTATCCAGAAAATAATTGACAGATTCATCAGCAATGAAAATAAATATTAGCTGCAGCTCTCACTCACATCCTCGCCAGGTAAAAATATATATTACAAGCACAGAAACATTTCAAACAGATATTATTTCTTCATGTTAGTTGTAAATAAAGTTCTGTGTGGCTGTGGTGCATTCAATACTTGCCAATGCATGGGAATTATACCTTTCACCTGCTCACAGAATAATTACCAACGATAATCCGAACAATAATTTTCACTTAGTCTGAATTATAATTGATTATTATTTTCTCTGTTAATTATGTCATTATTAAGTTTTTCTGTCTGAACAAAAGCACTGCTGTCTGATGCAGGAGTTTCCGAGGAGCACGTGAAGGCAGCACGCTGACAGTAGCAGCACAGTATCTGAACTAATCTGCAGGATAACATGTGAAGGTGTGACGGAGCTGATACCTGCTGCCTGTCACAGATTACACACCCACCTATCACTGCAGGTCGCACCTGTGTTTGCTCAGTGGAATCACCTCGAAGATAAAAATATTTTTATCTAAATCACAAACGTTATTTTCTGCTCGTGTCACAGGTCAGATATAATGAGCTACAGTGGCCGTTTCCGGTCTGTCACGCCTCACAAAATCCGCTACTACGTGTGAACATGAGTGAATAAAAAGGTATGATGTGAGCCAATGAGACTGCGTCACTGTGCACGCGCACAGAGGCTGTGTGACACCCAACCGAGGGGGGTGTGTTCATGTGTTGACATTACTGCTGAATGCAACGTGTCACTACCGTGCCAGGTAAGGGGGGGGTGGGGGGGAATCACACACACACACACACACACACACACACACACACACAGAGGAACCACTGTGAGAGGGAGTCCACAACCCCTAGTTATACATGTTGTCTTATGGTGTGTAACAAACCAAACTCCATTCGGAAAATCGCTAAATTTACAATAACCTTCATTTTAAACAAGTATGTCCTCTTATTTTGACATCAACTCTTGGCTCATCGTAATCAACAAGCTCCGACCTTTAATTCGGCGCACATCACGCACAGGTCCAACACGTACACTCTATAATGTACGTGAAAACGAAACTCCATTCAGAAAAGCGCTAAATTTACCGAAACCTTCCTTTTAAACAAACACACCCATTCATTAAACCACAATTTTGTAGTTTGACATAATCAACAAAGCTCGGACTTCATCCCGGCGTGCGCCATGAACAGGAGTGAAACCTGTTGGAGCAGAAATTCAACATTTTGCGTGCATTTTCTACAATCTACGTCCGGACGCGACGGGCGAAAAATAGTTGAACTAAGTCAAAAAGTTGGCAGTTTATTGGAGTTAAAATGCTGCATGGTGAAACAGTCCAGTGCCGATTTTTCCAGTGACTCCTAGCGTTTAATTTAAAGTCTTAAGTCTTCCTCTACGACATTTTGTGCGACTAAAACAAAACTGTAAAGATAAAGAGGTGAACTCTCTCCAAGCCTGGCACCAACCATCACTACAACACACCAAAAGTAGCCGCCTCCGTGTGTTCACGTCAAACAGTGTCTGTTAGGAAGTTTAATCCACACGTAGATATTTTGGGAGAACTTCACTGGAGGTTCAGACCCAACTCCGACTCACTCACCTCCTCTGACACCGACGCTGGGCTGCAGTTTGGCCGATAAGATGACCAGCACGATCCCGATGATGAACCATTCCTTCCGCACCCTCGCCAGCAGGCCCATGGTTCAGCCCCGGGTTCTCCCGATCAGTCCGCCCGGTCCTGGTCTCACCAGCCGGACCGAAGTTTCACAACTCCTCAGCTTCTTCTCTGGAGCTTCTATCTGTCACAAAACAGAGGGAGAACCACCGGAACCACTTCCGGACACATGGGCACAGCACGACTGTAATGACCGCAGGAGAGGCGCAGGAGATTTCTAAATTACCGTATCACAGGTAGGCGCAACATACCGTAAATACAGCGTGTGTACGGTTTTATATAGCGAACACAGGTCAAGTAAAGACGCAATATGTTTAAAAAGAAACATGAAATAATTTTTATAAACTGTAATTTAAGACATATTTACGGAAGCGTATTGCATTCCCTTGACAAATAAAAAAAACTTTTTTATTGAGTCATTTTTTCTGTTTATCGTGGTAATTTTTTTCCTGATTTTAGTGGGTTTTGGGGTAATTTTTTCTGAGTATTTTTTCTGAGTTAAGAGAGCAATAGAACAACAGACGCTTTCATTCCTTTCTTAAGAGCTCGATATAATGGAAGCAAACATGACCCGCTTGTTTAGTTTAATCCAGTTTTACTTTGTTTTGGGTTTGAGACACTGGGAGATACTCTTGTCTTTAAGTCATATAGATGGTGTTATCATTAGTTTGTTGACTTTACGCAGGCACCTTAAGACTTTGCGGTTGTTCAGATGAAAAGCCCATTCAGATCTGCTGGACATTGCAGTGTTTCTCCAGAATCAGTTGGACACATAACCCAAAACAAAGTAAAACTGGATTAAACTAAACAAGCGGGTCATGTTTGCTTCCATTATATCCAGCTCTCAAGAAAGGGATGAAAGTGTCTGTTGTTCTATTGCTCTCTTAACTCAGAAAAAAACACTAAGAAAAACAGAAAAAAATTACCACGAAAAATAAAAAAAAAACAAAAAAAAAAAATTACTCCAAATAACAGAAAAAATTACTCAATAAAACAGATTTTTTTAATTTGCCAAGTAAATGCAATAAGCTTCCGTACATATTAAACCCATGTACATGATAACTGAATAATAATATATTTAACTTATTGTAAATAAACTTTTGGTGAAATGCTTAAAATAATGCAACATTTTTTTAAAAAATGTAAACAAATCAAATATTTTTTTAGCAAATCATTTTAACAAAATAAAGTTTCCAGAAAAAAAAAACCTGGAAAAAATCATTTAGTTTATAATAGAAATAGGTTTGAAATATGGTTTTAAAAACAATACAAAAACTTAAAAAAGGTTTGACAAATTAATATTTTCTAACCTATGTGATGATAATAAAACAATGCTATATAGCTTTAATGTAATAATATAAACCAGCTTTAACTTAATAAACAGTTTGGGAAAAAATAATTTAATGCAAATGTTTTAATTATATCAGATCAAAGAAAATAAAAAATAATAATTTTAACAAACATAAACCATAAAGGTTTGACATGAAATATGTTTACATCATTCAGTTATAATTTTAAAAAACCTTTTAATGTTTAAAATAAACAAATCAAAGAAAAATTAGAAATTTATTTTAACAAAATAAAGTTATAACAAAAATAAACCATAAAGGTTTGACCTGAAAAAAGTTTACACCATTCAGCTAATCATAAAAAAAGTAAAAAAAAAAAAAAAAGATAAAATAGGGTTTTAAAAATTAAAAAAAAAACACACAGGAGGAGTTAATGTATATGATAACTAAATACTGCTGTATTCTTCTAATTATTATATATATTTTTTTGACGTAAAAATAAACCAGAGAATTTGAGTGAATTTAACAAAATAGTTTTACAAAAATAAACAATAAAGTTTTTTAAAAAAAAGGGCAAAAAAATAATTATTTTCAACCTATGTGATGATAATTAAATAATGCTTTTTTTTCCATTTAATTAATATATCATTTAAATGTTACATTTAAACCTTTTGACATGAAGACAAATCAAAGACAGTTTTAACAAAATAAAGTTTTACAACAGTAAAAATCAAGGTTTATAAAATAAAGTCTACATCATAAGAAATTGTTTTTAGCTTATATTTGGTTGTTTAAAAAAAGAACGAGTTCATAAATATTTTAACCTATGATATGATAAATTAGTAAGATGGACAGATTTTCATACAAATTGTTAAATGAATCATTAAATGAATATGGAGTATAAAGGAATAATAAACAATCACTTAATGGTCACAGTGATTTAAACTGAAGATGTAAAAGTAAGTCAGTTTTAAGAAAAATAATAAAGCATGCAAAAGTTTCTAAATACACAAACAATCTAAATAACATTCTTCATTATTAAAAAAAAGGAAAATAACTTGCAAATAATTTTGGCTTATTATTCTAATTATTCTGACATAATTTATCACATTAATAATCAACAGTGTTTGACGGTACAGTAAAATAAATAAAAGCTTCTATTTTTTATGATCTAAGTAGGAAACACATTTTTTTTCAATTATTTTAAGAAGTTACATCATCATTTGCAAAATGCAGCCAATGAGATCACAGATTGTATTTCACTCCAAAACATTTTTATTCTGCACAACAGCAAATAATCACGGAGAATAAGCAATATATAAAAACGAGTCGAGGACATTCAGACCTTCATGCTCCTCCTCTTCGTCGTTTCCTCTGCTCGGCTCAACAGACACAAACATATGAAGAGCTGGCGGACAGACAGGGCTGACTCAGCGAGCTCTGATGATGCGTCTCTGCCTGTTTATTAACTCATTATCTTACAAGCCGCAGCTGCGATCTGAAGCCAGACGCCAGCTGATCAGGAAATCTGTTATTTGCACTGTTGCATAATGTTTGTTGCTTTCAGCTGTGGTGACTGTGGTGACTGTGCTGCGTTCACGAGCCCGGGAGAACGTCGTTAAGTGTTGCCCCTGGCACACACTGGACAGCTCATCAACAGACAGCCACGCAAAGTTATTTCTTAAATCTGTACTTCCTCCACCTCTGCTCATCATGTGTGAACAGCCCGATTAAAGCTGTTTTCTAAACGTAAGAGCCGATCTCAGGCGCTATGACTCAACAGGAAGTATCTTCATGACCTTTGTCTTTATGATGTCGAAACTGTGGGTTGTTTAAGCTCGGGATATTTCTCAATCTGCTTTGATCAATTACACGAGAGCTAGGGTCCAGGATGAAGGATGCAGACGTTATCCTTTAATGTGAGTGACTGTAGCATAAAAGCTCCTCTTAAAACGGAGGTAAGTTAACACACCTGTCATGTTTTTATCATGTTAATAATTTGACTGGCACGGGGATAAGATGATGTCATGTTACAAATTTACAGTGTTTATTTCCTGTAACGTGCTGTGATTTGGAGGTGTGTCTCCCAGCAGTCCCAACAGCAGTATTCACCTGGTTCTTCATGAAGCGCCAACACCAGGCCGTAGCAGTACTGAGTCCCCCGGCTCCTTCCACGCCAGCAGTCGTTGCAGGGCGTCGGTCGAGGTCGACTGCACGTCAGCGCTGTATTTCCCGATAAGGCAGCGGGCGCGAGCACTGCCCACCAACACCTGACAGGAAACACAGTGATGCTTGTTAGGTAACAGATGTTGGATAAACCACCTTCTCCTGGTGAGCCATGACTGTGAGCGCAGCACCAGGACTAAACCCTAGGGTCTAGGTACTATGTCTTAAGGGTTACTGTTGATTTCAAAGCTAAATCCATCACTCCAAATCTGAATCATCCCCTCCTGAAGGACTTTCCTCTCCTCTAATGGGACAGTGAAGGCATGACAGTGTAAGGGGAACTGTACCTGTGCTTTCTGCAGCAGAGCCACATCTCCCAGGTTACAGGCCACGTCATAACCCTGCAGGAAGTACTCACGAGCTCTCTCATACTGACGCTGCAGAGAGAGATGCAGAGCTTGGTGAGAACACCCGACACATGTTGTATTTCAGGTGATTCTGTAGTTCTGTCTCTACATTTAATAATAGACTATAGTTAGGGCTGGCTCAGGCTTGCCCTGTACCAGCCCCTAGTTAGGCTGACTTAGGCCGAGTCTGCCGGGGGACCCCCTATAATACACCGGGCTCTCTCTCTCTCTCTCTCTCTCTCTCTCTCTCTCTCTCTCTCTCTCTCTCCAACTCAGCCGTACTGCATGTCACTAACTCTGCTTCTTCTCCGGAGCCTTTGTGCTCCACTGTCTCTCAGGTTAACTCGTATCGCAGCGGTGCCTGGATAGTGTGACGTGTGTGGTTGTGCTGCTGCCGTGGTCCTGCCAGATGCCTCCTGCTGCTGCTGTTATCATTAGTCATACTTCTACTGTTATTATACACAGCAATAGTCAGTTATGATGTACATGAAATTAGAGGTGACACATTAATTTGCAACTACTGACTGATTGTCAGTGAAGGGACAGATTGTGTGTGTGTGTGTGTGTGTGTGTGTCATACCATTGTACAGTAGATACTGCCCAGACACAGGTAGGCATTCACCAGGTTGTGTTGCAGCCCTTCACTACGGGAGATGTCAGCAAACTTCTCCAGACACTGGAGTGTGTCATGTGTGTTTCCCTCGCTGACGCGCGCGCACACACACACATACACACACACACACACACACACACACACACAAAGAAGAACCACTGTAAATGGGAGTCTACACGTACACCTTGTTCTATCATGTGTGTGAAAAACCAAACTCGTTTTAGGAAACGGCTAAATTTACACTAACTTTTTAACAAACACACCCGATAGTTACACCGTCTATTTTGAGCGTAACATAATCAGGAAGATTCAAACGTTATCTCGGCGTGCATCATGTACACATGAAGTAAACATGTACAAACATGTGCAGTGACTGTGGCGAGGAGACGCCTACAGATTCACTGATGTGGAAACGTATGCAGACACACACGTAAATGACCATGAAAATAAAGGACACCACAGTGATGCATAAAACCTGAGGGCATATACTTTGTGTGTGTGTGTGTGTGTGTGTGTGTACCTCTGTATAGACTTGGCCATAGCCTTGTAGGCCTTTCCCAGCCCGTCTGCATCCTGCAGTGTGCCGCAAATCTGCATGCAAGTGTTGAAGAACTGGACACACAGAGTTTGTGTTTATATAAAGGATGAGTCTGGTGATGTTCTTCATTCTTAATACTGTCAGTGAAAGCCATGAAAAGACACAACAACACACCAGTAAAACCACAGAGTCTGCAAGTGTGGCCTTGGTCTTTTCATGGGATTTGATGACATTCAAACTTGTGAGGCAGAGCTGTAGACACACACATACCTGTTTGGCTGTGGTATGGTCTCCTGCGCTCTGATAGGTCAGTCCGAGTCGATAAGACGCCTCCCCTTCAATCTGTTTGTCGTCAGCTGAAACCCACATCAACACAGCTTTTATCGTCTACTGTATTGCAAACATCTAGTTATGTCCCTGCAGGCCACCGTACATTTCATCCACTCTAACAAAGACTCTAATCGGAGCAGTAATGAGCTTCACTCTGACCTGCACTCACACGCAGGTATACGTATATGTTGTCGCTGCCCACTGCTGCTTCTGCCTTTGCTTTAAACATCGCCTTCATTTATTTGTTTTCCGTAACCGCTCCTGTTGGGGGTCTCTGGGGGGTGGGTGGGGGGGGGGGGGGGGGGGTGGAGCCTGTCCCAGCTGACACATAGAGACAGACAACCATTCACACTCACATTCACACCTACGGACAATTTAGAGTCACCAATTAACCTGCATGTCTTTGGACTGTGGGAGGAAGCTGGAGCACCTGGAGGAAACCCACCACCTATGTATCTGTGCGCTCACTGGTCGGCCTCTTCCACACATACAGTGTGTGTGTACCTACACTCTTTAGCCATGCTGTAGCCCTTGTGGAGCAGCTTCAGTGCCTCCCTGTGGTCTGCGGCCTCCAGCGGAGCGTCAGCCAGTCGGCTGTAGATCCTCCACAGAATTTTGCGGGCCCGGAGCCTCAGGGGGAGACCGGCTGAGTCCAGCCAGCCGGCGCCGTCTGCCTGCTGCATACACAGCTCCGCCTGCTGCTTCGCCTGCTCCAGCTCATCTGCAGCACATCAGACCCGTCTGAATTAGCTTGTTGCAGAGAGTTGTGGAACCTTTACAAGAAGAACCCATCTTTATGTGTGTGTGTGTGTGTGTGTGGGCGCTGGTCACCTAGTTGCAGGTAGAGCTCCGCCATGCACGCCTGCGCCTCTGTGGCCGGTCTGGAGTGGCCTCCTCGCTCTAGGTCTGTGCAGCTGTGGTAGAAGTGCAAACTGAGCCAGAGATCCTCCGGAGCAGAGAAGTACCGACCTAGAAACAGACGCTGCTCACACACCACCGTCCAGGAACCTGCACACACACACACACACACACACACACACTTATCTTACTGACATACACACCAGTTAATCTGACCGCTGCATGTATCCAGATATTTTTGTAAACAGACGTTTTCCTCTGCGTTTTGACCTCTCGTTGAGGTCACTAACAGATATTTTTAAAAGCGCCCTCTGAGGTGAAGATTTATGAAAACTCCGGTTACTGTTTGTCTGTGTGGACGTGTTTGGAAAATGATGATGTCATCTTCTTAAATCGTGCATGCCTATTGTTGCTTTGTGTACTGAGCAAAGACTGGAAACAACAACAACGGTTAAAATAAGTAAATAAATAAATATAGTGATAAAATTAATTTTGAACATAAATAAAAAATAAATGAAAAAAAACAAGAAACAAAAATCTCAACTTTGACAATTGACAAAAAATGTTTTTCAATGGAATGCCATCAATGTTCAATAAATAAATAAAGCTATTGAATATATCTTGAAAGTGTGTGTGTGTGTGTGTGTGTGTACCGATGTTTTCAGCTTGCTCCGCCTGGCTCAGGTGCAGTCTCATGGTCTCCAGTTTGTCCTGCTGATCCTCCAGCGGAGTCTGAAGCCCGAGATCTGACCCTGGTTCAGCTGCCGCCCTGCGATCCTGATTAGAGCGCAGCAGAGAGAAGAGCTCCGAGAACGTCCTGAGAGAGTGAAAGACCGTGGGTTCACGGGACGATAACAAACAACTGCTGAGCGTGGACACTTCCTGTGTCTGTCCTTTCAAAGTAAAGTCACACAGAGTCCAGTCATATAGGTTTGGATTTATTCTGATAAGACGCAGCTCCTGATAGAGTTTCACATTTTTATTTAATTTTTTTCTGTGACTAAGTGACCAATGAAGTCTTGCTGAGTAATGACGTTTCTGGTTGAGATCACCTGTCAGTGGTTTGATGTTGTGGCTGACTGATACATACCTGTGATAGCCTTGCTGAAGCAGCTCCACACAGATGTTCTGCTTTGGACTGTTTTTGAACCTGCAGAGAGTTGAAACAGCGAAGAGGTGTCGACATTAACAGGAGAGCGAAAGGAGGATGAAGATGTCAGGATGAAAAGCAGGTTGCCAACATGCACACTAAAACCCAGAGGGTTCAGTATGGCATTAATGGACATTGCTGTCTGATATCTAATATGGCCGGAGGAAAAAAACAACCTATAGTGTATGAGAGCGTCCCTGCGGTCTCAAAAGGGAGTAATGAAAATAAACAACAAATTATTGGAGGAATAAATCTGAATGTGGAGTGGCAAAATCCACCTGGTGAACTCACAGTGATATTTCAGCCTTGGAGGGAATCTGAGCTGATTTCTGTGACAGCGAGTCCCTCTCCTGCTGCACCCTGCTGGAAAAAAAAAGTAGAATCATCTTCAATTTCCTGATCACGACATTATTTTCTACCCAGCAGCTGTACTCCTCACCTGTGCTGAGTGCTGTTCCTCTCTTTGTTGCTGTTAGTGGTAATATCCGGTAGAAAAGCTCGGGCTTGCCGCACTGTCACCGCTGCATTCATCTTCACCTGTCAGTCACACTCAAGTAGAGAAACAAACACTCAACACCCATCACCTGGAGTCTGAGTCAACTTGACATGTTAGCTGATAATAATGTCCTTTTTCTCGACCCTGAAATAAACGTCACTTCACTGTGACACTGTAAAATGAGCAGCTCTGGCGGTCTACATGCTTCATTGTTCAAATATCATATCATTCATTACTGGGTGCTAATACTTGCTGGTGAATCTTTTGCTGCAGCCGGAGGATTAAAGTTTCCTGTTAAAATTTAAATTAAAGCAAACCTCTACAGTTGCTGACTCCATCAGTTGACGAAGACCGTCTGATGCGGCTCAAGTGCTGAACACTTTTGAGGCACTTGTACTTTACTTGTGTATTTCCATTTTCTGCTACCTCATACTGCTGCTCCACTACATTTATCTGATAAGTTACTTTGGAGATTCAGATTAAAAACACAAAACAAAATTAACTAATTAATTATGATGTATTAGCATGGGCAAAAAAAAACCACTTTAATCAATTTTACTGAATTAACAAGCTACCTGTCAGTATGTTAGTAACTAAAATGAGCTCCACCTTTAAAAGCTGCAACAATAAAGTGATGAACACATTAACAATCGTAATCCAATAATATAAGTAACATGACTATATATTCTTTTGGCAGCCTACTCTGGAGACATTTTGATGCTTATATGCATTCTTACTTAGGGACTGTTCGTTTTAATTTTGGTTTAGTGGAGGGGTATGCAAATTTAAATGGCTGTATTTTGGGCGGCACGGTGGTACAGTGGTTAGCATTGTCACCTCATAACAAGAGGGTTACTGGTTTCAACCCCGGGATGGGGGAGCCCTTCTGTGTGGAGTTTGCATGTTCTCCCTGTGTCAGCATTGGTTTCCTCCAGGTGCTCCAGCTGCCTCCCACAGTCCAAAGACATGCGGGTTAACTGGTGACTCTAAATTGACCGTAGGTGTGGAATGATGTGGTTACAAAAAAATGAATTGAAAAATGAAAAAATGAAGACATTTTTTATATTTTATTTAATTTTTATAGCACTAATTTTTTGGTTGGTTTTCTTTAAAAATCCCCTAATTTAACCTTTTAGCCAGAAACTGTAAAATCACAAATTATCGACGTTCAAATTTCTGTCGGTTCTTGGACACATCACGTGCAACAAAACGTTTCCTGAGTTTAACATCAAAATCATTTTATTCAACATCTCATTTAAAATTTGGCCCAAAATAAAGCGTTCCCACAAACTAACAAACATGTATGACAAGAATTAAAAACTTACTATATAATGACAAAAACTCTGTGTGTCTGTTCCATGTTTTTCTCCTCACTGACTTGGTCAGTCCATGTGAAATTTGGCACAGTGGCAGAGGGTCATGGGAGGATGCCAATGAAGCAATATTACATCAGTTGGCCAAAGGGGGGCGCTATAGCAACCGATTGAAATGTCAAACTTTGAATGGGCATATCTCATGCCCCATATGTCGTAGAGACATGAAACTTTGCACAGAGATGCCTCTCCTCATGAGGAACACATTTGCCTCAAAAACCCATAACTTCCGCTTATATAGATTTTCCGCCATTTTGAATTTTTTGAAAAACACTTCAAATGGATCTCTTCCTAGGAAGTTTGAGCGATCTGCATGAAACTGGGTGAACGTAATCTAGGGACCAATATCTAAAGTTCCCTCTTGGCAAAAGTTGGAAAACTTACTAAAACTGAGCTTCTATAAGGCAATGAATATTGCGGAGGGCGTGGCTCATCACATAAAGGTGTATAACATCTCAAGGGTTTCACCCATCACCACGCAACTTTGTAGGCATATGACCACACATAATCTGAGGGGACCCCTCCATTATTGACCCCATCAAACAAAATGGGGG